TCTTCAAAAATACCATTCATTACTGGGGTCACCTACGACGAGGGTCTTATGAAATCATTGCGTGAGTTTGCTTCAATGTTTTCTATTCGCTGAATTCAAATTAATATACTTTTCTATATGTTCAAACGTTTCTAGCCATCATGAACTACCCAGGAGTATTTGAAGAGTATTCCACGAATTTCAAACGTGCCCTATCCATTTCACTTTACTATGATCACCATAATTCGTCTATTCAAGACTCGATAACAAAACAAATCAATGACTTTTATTTCGGAAACAATTTTTCAAAAGATAAATTTACGAATTTGACAACTGTAAATCAGCATTGAATTCATCAAAAACGCCTAATTAACTTATGAAAATTTATGTGAATTTGTAGTTATTCGGTGATGGATGGTTTCTCGACGCAATGGACTCTTATTTACGAATGAGACTTTCACACAGAGATGCTGCACCCACCTATGTATATTTACTCACTCATAAAGCATCTATCAGTTTTTCTGAAGTATTTAATGGTGATCCGGAGACATTTTATGGTAAATTGATAATCAAAGAATTAATTTGAAATGATAAGAAATGGAATGAATTTTGAAGGTGTATCTCATGCTGATGAGCAGCCATATTTCTTTCCGAAAAGAGACTCCTCAATCTTTTCGAACTCATTGCCAACAAAAGAAGATGAAGAAATGCGCAAATCGCTTGTTCAAATGTGGGTAGACTTTGCTCGAACTGGGTAAGTGATTCGGCTGCTGAATCGTTCAAGAGAACTGCAACTTAAAATGTTTAAATTTTGCATGTGACAGTAATCCAACTCCTGAATCAAGTAATTTACCAAAATGGATTGAAGCAAAAGAATTTCCGCTGAGATACTATCGCTTTGGTAATCTTAATTTTGATAGCAAACCAATGTTTGGAATGGAAGAAAATGGAATATTTGAAGAGCGTACTAAATTTTGGAGAGAAATCGAAGCATTCCTACCCAGCACTCATTCAAAAAAAGAAGAAATGTAGATAATAAATATAAAAATGTTCATGCCATTTTGAAATAATTTAATGAGTTACTTTATTACAGAGTGACATCCGAGTCGAGCGTATCGAAATCTCGTCAAAAGTCTTCCAATTGGCTTGTAATTTTCATAATAAGCTTGCTAAGTTTGGTATTCGGACATTTATTGTATAAATTCGTATAAATTAGCAATATAAAGATAGTAGTATGATATCAAATCACCGATTATTTTTTTTTTTTTTTCATTACGTTGTTATCAAACGAAAGAACAGCGAGATTGATTATTGTAAAGGTTTTAATTATATTTAAAGAAATAAATAAAATATGATCTTTGTATCAACATCGCTAATTGTGATACCTAAATGTGCAAACATCTAAATATTTCTATCATTGAAGTTATATGACTTAGATTTGAGCTCAGACAATATTGAGTAAAATGTTTTTATATTAGCTGTATTTTCAGTGGGAGCTTTATACTCAAATTATCGGGGTATAATGACGTATTTATTTAGTAGAAGTAATATCTCTATAACAGTAATGTGCGAAGGGGGGGGAGGGGGGAAATAGCGGGGTTTTAAATTTTTTCTGATTTGCTTGGGTTTTTCGCGGAGAAAATTCTTTGGATTTGCTAGGGTTTTTCACGAAAAAAGTAACTTCCAAAAAAACGACTTTATTGTAATTTCCTGAGGTTTTTCGCGGAGAAAATTCTTTCGATTTGCTAGGGATTTTCGCCAAAAAAGTGAAGAGCCAAAAAAAACACGAAATTTGTTGTTCAAATGAGAGAATTTTTAGTTTTTGAAAAATCAACCCCCTCCCCCTGTAAAATGTAGCTAGCACATTACTGCTCTATAATTATAACTCTCCACTTGTAGGCACGATTGTATTCGTGTAATGAAATACTCATTCTTTGTCTCAAGTAACGTCACGTATAGAGCGAACACTCTCAACGTACGAAATAAATACGGCGCAATTGAATGATAGTCATCTAGTTATAAACAAACTTCGAGTTAACAAGTTATCAAATAGAATGTCTGCTCTCTTGATTTTTCTATCGCTATTAGTGACTTTTATTGTGACTTCATTTTTATACGTGCAATCCAAGTATTCCTATTGGAAGCGTAAGGGTGTTCCTTACCAGACTCCAATATTTCCATTCGGAAATTTAAAAAATGTATTTCTGCAAAAGGAGCAATTTGGTGAGGGTCTTGCCGATATTTACAAAAGCACATCTGAGCCATTCATCGGTATTTACACCGCACTGAGGCCGGCTTTGTTGATTCGTGATCCGAAAATCATTAAAGATATGTGTATCAAGAATTTTCATAGTTTTGATCATCGCATATTACAAGCGAATGTTGAAGCTGATCCGATGGCCGACAATCTCTTATTGCAGAAGGGAGAAAAATGGAAACGACTGAGAACACAATTTACGCCAGCATTCTCATCAGGAAAATTAAAAGGAATGTTTGAAACGATCGTTGCATGTGGCAAATCATTGGACAAGCACATAAAAAGTTTTGCAATCAGTGGCAAGTCCGTGGAGATGCGTGATGTGTTCGCTCGATTTGCGACAAACGTAATTGCGTCGGTTGCATTTGGCATTGAAGTCGATTCTATTGAAAATCCTGAATGTGAATTCCGAACATATGGACAGAAAATTTTCCAACCATCACTTAAAAATACAATACGTGCAACTACCAATGTTTTTATTCCGAAATTATCAAAATTATTTGGATTTAGATTTGTCGATAAGGATATTGGTGACTTTATGATCGAAACTGTGCGACAAAATTTGGAGTATCGTGAAAAAAACAACGTCACTCGCAAGGATTTCTTTCAACTGTTGATGCAACTACGAAATACCGGAAAGATTCTCGATGATGACGATTGGTCGACCAAATCCACTTCGAACAAAAAAGAATTGACACTCATTGAATTAGCTGCCCAGGCAGTTTTATTCTTTGGAGGAGGTAGGAATAGATGTGACGATATTCAAGCTTATTTTAGTTAATTTTTATGAGAATCTTACAGGTTTTGAATCATCATCATCAACGATGTCATTTTGTTTGTATGAACTAGCTAAAAATCCCGAAACTCAACAAAAGGCTTACGAAGAAATAGTTGACGTTCTTGAAAAACACGATGGCAAATTAACATATGATTCGGTTGCCGATATGAAATTTATTGAGAGCTGCATTGATGGTACGGCATTGATTTATACAATCACTTTTTTTTACCAATTTCCAATTATGGATCATTATATTTTTATAGAATCACTTAGATTACATCCACCATTTCCAATCGCCACTAGAAATTGTAGCAGAAATTATCAAATTCCGGGCACAAATGTGACTATTGAAGAAGGTACCCCGATTTTTTTTTCAACCATTGGATTACAGTATGACGAAAAGTACTACGCTGAACCAAACAAATTCAAACCAGAAAGATATAGTAGTGCACAGTCAATAAACAGAAGCTTTGATGAAATGCCTAATTTGGTGTTTGGCGAAGGTCCACGCAATTGCATTGCAAAGCGATTAGGAAAGTTACAATCTAAAATCGCAATCATTTTGTTGATAGAGAAATTCATATTTGAATTAGATGATCAACACAAAAACACAGAACTGACACTGGACCCAAGGAGTATTGTTTTAGCTCCGATCAATGGTCTTAATTTTAAGGTTTCAAGTCGGTAAAACATAGTATCTTCTTGTTTTTACTCGGCCTGTTTGCATAAATATGTCATTCTTTTATCAATAAAAATAGAAATTCACAACAACAAAATATTGATTCAATTTTATATCTAAAATCTACAAAGAAATTAATCAAAACATTTAATTGCGATCTATTTAATAGTATGAGTAAAGGCGTACTCAATCTTCGAAAAAAAAATCAAAGCATGATATTGTATTACTGAAGACAAAAAAATTCAATAAGTATACTCAGTAGTATAAGTAGCAATTATAATTGCTGATATAGATAAATAATATAGATAATATTGATGACAAATTGATTTGAAAAAAATCTTTATAATTGATTTGTTGGTGGCCCTGAAAAGGGCCGATTTTGATATGAAATGGTTTGACGTTGAATTTAAGCACGTTCACCGCGGATACGACGGGCCAATTGGATGTCTTTAGGCATGATTGTGACACGTTTGGCGTGGATGGCGCACAAGTTGGTGTCTTCGAATAAGCCGACCAAGTAGGCTTCGCTGGCCTCTTGCAAAGCAAGAACAGCTGAGCTCTGGAAACGCAAATCGGTTTT